GACAGCGCAGCTTAGATCGGTCGTAGGTGCTTTGTCATGGGTTACGCGTCAGTGTAAACCTGAGCTCGTGTATCGCGTGAGCAGACTGCAGACTGCAGTGTGTCGCGCTAAAGGTACTCCGTGCCAAAGAAGCTAACCGTGCATTAGAAGAAACAACTCAGTCCGCTGACTGCGTGTTAGCATTCAAAGTGGAGCCGCTAAGTGGAATCAACATATGATAACTCATACTGTTACTGACGCCAGCTGGGCAGGAGTAGAGACATTGTCAAGGGTAGAATCGAGCCTCTCAGGTCACAGAGGGCCAGGGCCAATGGGCTCGCAGGGCGTGGATTCATCGATGGGGAACAGTGATCATGCTCATCCTAAGTGTATATATAGTAGAGTTATCAAACGAGTGTGTAAATTTTCACTACAAGCAGAGACCCTGGTTTGTTTTTGGGGCGTAGAATCTGGCGCGCGCATTCGCGCCGCCATCGCAGATGCGCGCGGGGTGCTTGGCGCAGGAAAAGAAACTGCCAACCAGCTGGGAAGACGACTCAGCCATGTCTATAAGACACTTATGGCTGACGGATTGCAAGAGCCTTGAGGAACATCTCATAACCTCAACTATGGGTAAGACAGAAGATAAGCGCTTGAGTATCGATTTGAGCAGTTTAAGACATGATATTTGGACTACTGGAGCGGAAGAAGTAGAGAGTTTACATCCACGCAGGTTTTGTGATAGGATTCGATGGATCGATGCAATTGTTATGGCTGTTGATTGTCTGACGAAGGATATGCTTACGGATTTTCTTGTCAATATCTTGCGCACAAGTTCGTATGACGTAACTCCAGGCCCTGAATCTACCTCAAAGAGGGTCAGGAAACAACTGGCGAGGGCCAGGATGAATGCTATCCCATCGGGGAAGTGAGTGACTGAGTCCTGGCTGCCTTTGACTTGAGTAATCCCAACATGGGAATATTCTTTTTACCGTAGAGACTGAGACCAGCGGTACTGCGCGGTCTGCCGGCTAGCTATTGAAAAAGTTCCGCGGGTGTGAGATAGTGCATGTGTCCCGCGTGTATAATATGCACAACTCGCTGCCGTCTGTAGGGACTCCTTTTTGCCATTGCCCTAAAACGCATTATAATCACACTCCCTCATAATAGACGCCCTGTTCCAAACAGTCGAGCTGAGCAGAAGTCCGGTTCCAGACCCCCCCTCCCCCCCACCTTTTGCCCAATGTCGAAACGCCGAAAAAAACGCTCACCAACGGGGGGCCGTTCTCATGCCACGGGGGCCCAGCGCGCGATGAAGAACCAAAGGATGGGTTCGAAAGCTCTGCTTGGGCGCAGCAGAAAACTGCAATCATAGCTGATTGGAGTTCTTGGGAGGGTCCCTCGGGGGGGGAAACCGCCGACCTCGGCATGGGCATTTTGGTTGCGGTTGTGGTCGATGTGGCTGTCCTGGGACGTCACATCGACCACAGCCCGTAAGATGCTGGTTTCGGGGTTCCGGCAGATTTTGGCATGCGCAAGGCATCCCGCAGATTGTGTCCTCGACGTGGTTGTGGTCGCTTGCTGTCCCCGCGCTATGGGAGGCAGTCGCAAGACGATTGAAACCACGGAGAACGGCTTGGAATGGGTTCTCACAGCGAGGGTAACGCTTGGGAAGCGCCAGCATTCGCCGTGAAAGAGAGGGATATATGCATTTGAATAGAGATATAGAGAACAAAAAGAAAGAGAGAGAGAGGGGAAGGGATATACATATATACAGATATATATATATAGAGAGAGAGAGAGAGAGAGAGAGAGAGAGAGAGAAAAAAAAAAAAAAGAAAGAGAAGGAGTGAGTGGCAACGATGTTGGAGCGTGTTTCTGTATTGCTTGGGGCATGACGGGCGTCATGGCCCCCGCCCCCCCCCTTTTGACGTAACTCTCCCCCTTCCCCCCAGGTCGCTCCGGGCACTGCCGCCGTGCGAATCGGGACCCGCAGGTGTCCGCATGGGAACTCGCATAGGAGTCGGGTCCGCAGTCATCGTCGTCGTCGTCGTCGCTCGTCGCCCGTCGCTCGTCGCTCATCGTCGTCGTGCGCGCGGACGCGGCTGGAGCCTGATTTTTATTCCGGGCCGATGACGGCAGTCATTGGGGGGGGGGAGTTGGCTGGTGACGTCACGTTTCGCGCCGGCGGCGTCTGGGAATGCGTAGGAATGACCGAGGACGGGTAGCAGCAGCACGTATGTGGCGATGTGCGCCACAGCGACTGTGTACACCATAGTGCTTGCGTGCACCACAGCACCTGTGCACACCACGTCGTCAACGTACACCACACCAGCCGCGTGCAACACAGCGTCAGTTTGTGCCACAGTCCCTGCGGGCACCACAACGCTTGTGTACACCATAGGGCCTGCGTGCAGCACATCAGCCGTGCGCAACACAGCACCAGTGTATACCACAATGCGCGCGTGCACTACAGCGCATGTGTACACCACGGCGCCTGTGTGGTGCAGCAACCACGTGCAACAGAGCACCATTGTTGCATCTAGAATTTGAGAAAAAATCCTCATGACATAATGGAGCGCCTGTGGATTCAACAAACAATGTTTTATATAGGATTTGGAAATGAATCCGTATGGAAAGAGAGGCCGCTAGAATCTACGAGTCCTCCCGAGTCCGCCCGCATCATCCTAAATCTTCCCATCTGCGTCCAGGAGGCTCCAGCAAAATCGGCCGTCCGAGAACCAATTGGACTGATCCAGTAGACCATTCTGCGGCGCACGCTGAGAAGCGCACGTGCGTTGTAGCGCCGACCCGCACGACAGGGCGGAAGGGAACGGGAGGAGGACGAGGAGGAGGAGGAGGAGGAGGTGGAGGTGGAGGTGGAGGAGGAGGGATGTTAGCACTTCCTTGTCGTGGCGTTTAGCTTTCCGCAGCAGATCCAAACCTACGTGTGCCTTCTGCCTGTCCTGTGCAAGCACGCACTGTGGTGTACACCAGCGCTGCGTTGCACGCGGGTGCTATGGTGTAGACATGCGCTGGTGTGTGCACGTGCGATGTTGTGCGCGCAAGCATTGTGCGCGTTGTGTTGCACATTGCTGCTGCGCTGTACACATTCGCTGTGGTGTACACGGGCGTTCTGGTGCACGCAAGCACTGTGGTGTGCACAGGCGTTGCGTTGCACACGGTTGTTAAGGTGTACGCAGGCGCTGTGGTGTACACGCGCGCTGTGGTGCACGCGAGCATTGTGGTGTACACAAGCGCTGTGGGGCAGATCGCCACCTACATGTTGCTCGCGTCGTCGTCGTCGTCGTCGCTCGTCGTTCATCGTCGTCGTGCGCGCGGGCGCGGCTGTGGTGCCGGAGCCACAAGGTGGGGGGGGGGGGGGGCGTTCCGTTATACCCCCCCCGCCCCACCCCCATGACGATTTCATGGCCGAAAATGAAATGCGCTCCGAGGGTCAACCGCACGACTGGCATAAGATACCACAGCTATGTGCCAAGATGCAGAGAGATATGCCGCGCAGACAATACATAGGGTGGTGGGGGCAAATCCTCCTCCTCCTCCTCCTCCTTATGCACTTCCTTTGGTGTGGAGGACAAGGGAAGGGGAGGGAGGGCCCTGAGATCCGACGTTGCGACAAACTGCGACATCCAACGAAAACTGCGACCGAAGGCCCCGACCCCATCGTTCTGCAGCAGTCTCCGCGCCGGATCGGCCCGTGAGGGCCCCGGGGGCCCGAAGCCTGGCGAAAACGCCCGTGGTGAAGCACGTACGACGCCCCGATCTCGCGGGCTGCAGGCGAATTTTTTTTTGTTGCTTTGTTTTGCCGATCGGCGCGGGCCCTCCCACCCCCCCCATGTGGAGTAGATCTTGGCTGTTTTGGGGCGCCTGTTTCGAGCAGGCGGGGCCCCTCCCCCATAGGACGCACTGCCGCAAACAGTCGCTGCAAGCAGTGGTCCGGAGCTAGACCCCCCCACCTCTCCCCGCCCCTTCCGCCCAACGTCGAAACGCCGAACAAGAAAACGTTGGCCAGAGAGCGGGCGGAGGCAAGACGGCCACATTCCAGTGCGCTCCGCTGCGCCACACGGGCGGAGGGCGAGGCACACATGTAGCCTCATGGGCGAGGGTGCTGGGAGGCGGAAGGCCCAGGGACACCCGACGTCGTGGCCGGAGTCACGGCAACGCGACGAACAAACGCGACCAGTGCGTTCGACCCCGTCCCCATGCTGTACTATGTTAAGTCGGGCCCGTCCCTCTACAGGAGGAAAATTCAAAATTATGTGTTTGTTAAATATGGGGACGGTTTTTTGTATTTTTCAATTTTGACTGGTTAATTTTTTCGTCCAGAATCCGCCTTTCGGGGGACATGCCCGACCGAATACAATGTTGCGGCCTGGACGCAGGGTCCAGGCCCAAGACGCGGTAACAGCGCCTGGTAAGAATTCGGGCTGTGCACATTCAAGCAGCTTCCCAGGTATTCCCGGCTGGTCTCAACAGGCCGCCCGAGCAGTTCCAGCTGGACTCAACGGCCCCCCCGAGTAGTCCAGGGTCCAGGGCGGTCTCAACAACACCCTGACGCCGCCTCTGGCTGCGCCCCGTTAGGGGCCTGTTGAGGCCAGCCGGGATTTTTTCCTCGTGGGGGCCTGATGAGGCCAGCTGGAATGGGGACTACCTGGACGAGTTGTCTGTGCGCAACCCGAAGCCTTACCAGCAGTGCCCGTCATGATTTTCAACGACGCCAGAAGGTCAGGTCGGTGAAGGATGTTGTTGGCACGAAGGACACGGGGCTAGAGAGGGGGAAACGCGTCTTGGGCGCCAGTTAGGCCTTCCCCAGGACCCGATGTCTACCCTGAGTCGTCTTGCTGGCAGTCCCTGGTCCCGTGGAGGGCCCCCAGAGCCCCAGAGCGACGGCAGAACCTCGGGCTTGGCTTCCTTCGGGGACCCCTCTCCTCCACGGAGGGAGGGAGGGAGGGAGAGGCGGCAGGCAGGGAGGGAGACCAGCCCGCGCGGAGCCCGCCCAGGCAGTTTGCCGCCTGCGCCGCCGCGCAGGAGCGGGCCGCCCGGCGACAGCAGCAGCAGCTGGAGCGGCTGCAGCAGCAGCTGTCGCAGGAGCGCCAGCAGCAGCGCGTGGACGGGGCTGCGCAGCGCCAGCAGCTGGAGCAGCTGGAGCTCAGAGGAGGGAAAGGTGCGGCAGGCTCCTGTGGTTCCGGCGCGGCAGCGACCCCGCCGCGGGCGTTCGAGGTCTAATTCCGCCTGCGGCCCAGAATTAGGCCAATTTCGAATGAGTCGGGTTTCGAAAGGCCGCCGATCGTTCAAGGTTGACCGATCCACGCGATGCCAGGAACCAATGCCAGGGTCTTCACGACACGAAGCTGCCGTGCACCGATGCCGCTGCAGTCGGAACCGATGGTAATGGTGGGTACACCCTTCCCAATGGTACCCATGCATCCTCTCCTCCTCGGACCGTCCTGAACCCTTTCGATGGCCAGCCCCGCTCGAAAGCCTTCGACATGGGCGCCCAAGGGAGCTTGTATTCTCGTCGTGCATCTTGAATGAGGCCTCAAGGTATTTTTGGAAACGGCTTGGGTCGGCGGAGCTTCTGACCCTCGGGGAAGGAAGAAGAGGAGGGAGCAGGAGGAACTGGAGGAGGAGGAGGAGGAGAAGGAAGGAAGGAAGAGAGAAGACCAGGGTGGGAGAGGAGGAGGAGGAGGAGCAGGAGCAGGAGCAGGAGCAGGAGCAGGAGCAGGAGCAGGAGCAGGAGCAGGAGCAGGAGGAGGAGGAGGAGGAGGAGGAGGAGGAGGACGAGGAGGAGGGGGAGGACAATCACAAGGCTAATGAGGGAGGCTAAGGGTTGGCCGACCCGACCCTAGCCCAAAACCTCGTGGCACTAGGTCACCTATGTTTTCCACTGCGGCCGCGGGTGAACCAACTGGCCGCAGAGACGGCAGGACGCTGCCGACCTGCCAACGCTGAAAGAGGGCGAAGGGCCCTGATGTGACGTATGCACACCTAGCCACTACGGCTCATCCACTCCGCCGCCCAAAAGGGCAGGGGAGAGGGGTGGGGCTGAGCACCGGTCGAGGTGGGCTGGCCAACCAAGTCCACCCCCGTGCCCAGACCCCACGGGGGGGCGGCCCCCCTGTGCAACTATCGCCGCAGAGGGAGCCTTACCTCCAGCGCTCGACGGCCGGGCAACAGGGGAACGCCAACAACACGCAGCAGTGAAACGGACGGCCAGCATCGCCTGCCTTCCGGAACCCCTCGGCCCGAGTTCCAGGGCTGGCCGCGCGTCACCAGCACCGCCAAACAGGGCGACAGAGGGACCCCAGGTCGAGCCCGCTGCGAGCGTCAGGCCACCGCGGCAAGTGGATGGGGGGCGGGCGACGGTCGAGGTGGGCTGGCTACACCAAGTCCACCCCTTTGCCCAGCCCACCCGCAGGAGAACGGCCCCCTGTGCAAGTGTCGCCGCAGAGGGAGAATTACTCCAGCGCGCCTTCCCCTGAATCGGGGTGCCCGACACGCGTGCTTACGCGCGCGCATACACAAACGCACGAGCACAAGATAATCATGAGGCGACGCCAGGACGACGAGGCACCGCCTACCCCTGGCGTAAAGAACGCCAGTTCGGTGGCAGGCATCGCCCCTGGTGTGGGCCTATCTGGATTCTTGAGCTTCAAACTGACCACTGATTTTAGCCTGCTTTTCGCGGACCAATCTAGCCAGTGGAATCGCTGGAGCCCTTCGGATCCCGCCCTTCCTGAACGCGGGCACGCTGAGCGGCCGCGCCTTGGTGAGCCATTCGAGTGCTGCAAACTCCAGTGAGCCCTCGACCCAACCCTTCAGGGTAGGATCCACACTTATTGCAGACAAAGATACTCGTGGGGTGATCTAGGTGCTCATAATGGAACAAGTCTCGGTCTTTGATATCGTGCACAAGAGCTGACAGCTGCTTGCAGTGGCCAGGACACTGCGTGGCCTCGTGCGCAACTCTCTGCTTGATCGATCGGGACAGAATCTTGCATAGTATACGGCGCCACTTAACAAACATCATCGCCCAGTTGTGAACCCTCCGAGGCTCTCCCTGGGAAGCATGGGGCTTAGGAGGCGGAGGAGGAGGAGGAGGCTCGACCGACGTCGACGACGAGGCCGAGGGACCCCAAGAGGACAGGGCTGAGGCAGCGCCCGCGGGAGGAGAGAGGCTCTCCTCTGGGGCGGACAGGGCCCCGTTGCGCTTAGGGGCTATCGGAGGCCACTCTCCCACAGCCTGGGCCACATACGTGAGCTATTTCTTCACATGCTTTTGGCCCCCTGAAAAACTGCGCTTCTCATCTTCGCCCGGCTGGACTCCTCGCTGCGCGGCCGCCTTGGCCAGGCGATGCGCGGCGCCGTTGCCTTCCGCCGACCTTCGCGCCTCCGCCTCGCTGCCCGCGGGCAGGGCTTCGATTTCGTGGCGGGCCTTGACCTTCGGGAGCCTCTGCCCCCAAGGGAAACGCCCGCGACCCGCAAGGACCTTGAACCCAGTCCACAAGTTGCGACGGGGGGGGCCCTCGCCGCCACGCAGCAAGATTACCCTTGATATAATCAGAGCAAACTACGTCAATGTCAGCAGACATCCGGCAAGCAGCAACAGCAGCTAAGTGTTCCGCGGCCCCCGAGATTTGAAGATGCACCTGGCCGGCTCGGCCGCTGAAATGGGCGAGAGCTCCGCCGCCACGCGCGCGCGCAACAGCAAGCCCCGCGGCGTTGAGGACGCAGTGCCCGCGGCTGGTGCAACTGCCATCTATGTAGACTTCCCCCTCGCCGCAAGCTTCCAAGGGGCTGCGATCAGCTCGAGCATGCCAAAACTCTCCGAATCCGAGCCCCGCGCCCGGGGGCGGGCCACCTTCGAACTCAGGGGCCAGCGGGGGCCCGAGGTGCAGAGGGGTGGGGGCCTGGGAAGGGGGCCCCCGACACCTCTGGAGCGAAACCTTTGAAGCTCCGCATCCGAGAAGCGAGCGGCTCTTAGTTGTGCAGTCTTAGGGCGGTAGAACATCCCGTGGCCAAGATCATCCGAACGGTGGCCGCGCTCGCAGCCTGTGGGGGGCATCATATCCTGCAGCGCTGGCTCTCCTCATGGTCCAGATGCTCTGGGCGGGGAAGGCAAGAAGCGTGCCTTTCCATTGCCCAGGTAGGCCAGATGCTAGAACGCCACGAGCAGCAGCAACGTCTAATTGCGCATTCCTGGTGGCCGAGCTTCGCAGCTCGCCTGCTTGGCGAGCTGGGCGTGCCAGCCCAGCTCCGTGAGCTTTCGGGGGAAGGCGGGGGGGCGCCCTGGGGGGGGGGGTGTTCAAGGCTTGCGGAGGTCACGGACTTGAATGGGCCTTGGAACTTCCAACCAACACGTTTAAGGGAGAGCACGGCAGCACTGAGCGGGCCCCTGGAGGGCCCCCACGATTTCGCACCACTAGGCAAGATGGCGTCAGCTTGCTCCCGCAGCTGCCGAAGACTGGCCACGGCGCGGCGGGGGCGGGCGGGCGCGCCCCAAGCAAGACGGCGCCACAACGTGGCAGGACCCAGGGCGGGCCACTTACCACAGAGGTTCCTGGACGATGAGCAACGGCAGGCTGCGGCTGCGCGTCGAACAGCGCGGACCAGCAGCAGCAGCGAGAAACTGAGACCTAGCCGACTCAAGCTGAGTGCCATTGATGCAAATGACCTCGACTCCGAAAGTGGTGGCCGCCTCCAGGCCAGTCTTATGCAGTTTGTGGGTGTTTCCCCAAGCACGCTTGAGCATGCGGACCCTGTTGAATATTTTGCGCATCTTGCCGAGACGCCCCCGAAGCTTCCGAAACTTCCTCGACCGTCTCCGGGGCCTGATCCCCAGTTCCAACCCCCAGGTTGGAAACCGAACGATCCTAAGACGGGCCAGCCAGTGGCCCCAGGGTTGTCCGAAGTTGGTCCTGGAGGGCGTGGTGAGAAGCCAGGGCCTGGCTCGTCTTGCTGGCGATCTGGCACGTATACTCATGAATGATGCAATCCGCCATCGGCCTGGCGGCCATGTTAAGCTGGCTGGCGATGAGGCTGAAACTGCGGCCGTGGCACTGGAGCAACAGATCGTCTATAAACGTCGGGCCCAATGCAAACGTGGGCCCGCGTCCATATGTCGAGTGGGGCGAGCACGTACATTAGTATTAAGTAGGTGGCCCAACTGCACCCGGCTGCTATACCCCCCCAAGGCTTACCCACACGAACGGCGCAGTCTTGTAGCGAGACGATGCGTTCACCAGCATTGTGAGATAACATTTATCTAAGAAGGCAACACGGGCAACCGTATTCAACGGCACGATGAGCAAGGCAAGGCCGATCAACATGTTCGTAGTAGTTAGAGAGATCGAATAGTTTGATCTGGGCGCTGAATTGTTGATCTTTGTCAGTGATATTGAACTCACGTTCCAACGATTGCTTATTTACTAGTTCCACGACCGAGTGCCCCGCCTGATGTGCAAGGCACGGCCGACGGTGGTGAGCTTCCCACTCTCTGGCCGCGGACCTTCTATGGCGGGCCCAAAAGCGATGCAAAGCTGGAAGCATGCCGATGTACCTGGAAGACGGCTGACTGGCAGGACCATCGCGTCGTTTAAGTTTGACCATGAGCGTTGAGACAATCCCCTGGAGTTGCGCAGGCATGTGACTAACTTTCTCAAAGAGACCGATAAACTGGCAGACGATTCCCGCCTGCTTGTCGTCGCGCATGCTGAAATGGCGGGGATGGAACCCATCCCAGGTAGAAGCGGTGGCGCGCGGGAAGCTGCGGGCAATTTGTCGGGGCCTCTTGGGAGTAATAGGGCCCAGAGCGACTCGATCGTCAAAACCAGGAACGATGCTGAGGCCCACCAGTGAACTGCGACTTGTGCCGCGCAGAAACGGGGCTCCAGGCAAGAGCCTTTGTTCGACCATCTGTGAGCCCATCACATTTTTCTTCTCATATTGGACTGCACCCAATCCCTCCAATCCCTCCCTTCAGCAGCGTTCTCCGCTGCCTGCCCCCGGCGTAGAAGCTCGGTGGCCTACTCTTAGCAGCTCGTGCAAGACTTGGGGCGCAAAAGCCAGATCAAGAAGGCCGGCCTGGAAATCGACGTGCAGCAGATTTGCAGCAACTCGAATATCCTTCAGCCCCTCCTTCGGGGACGAGGCGTTGGAGAACAACTCGGGGCTACCCTCGAGGCTGTCCAAGGCATCCTGGAACTCCTGCAGGTCCCAGTCCTGAACGCATCTACGAAAGTCCTGAACACAATTGCACAACCATGTGAGAGGGCCAGTGCAGGGGCCACCCATATGGCCCTACTCCTATCAGCCGTGGCCTCCGCGGGAACCATGAGGACCTGAGGGGGGTGGGCCCTGGGGTACTTGCTAGGTTTGATAGGGGGCGTTGGTATTCTTTTTGATAGTGGCTTCCAGGTTCTGGGCCAGGGTGAAGCACGCGTAGTTCAGGAGGACCATCGACTGCTGATCCGAGAGAGGCCGCTGAGCATCATCGATTACTTGAGTAACATGTTCCACTACCGCGGCAGTCTGGTGCCACTCACTTCTGGTAATTGCGGGCCCACGGGGATATGCGCGGGCAGCTTCTGAGGCCGATTCAGCATGGGGATGTCAAGTTACCCTAGGCAACAATATCCAGCGACGCAGGCCGATGAGGGGAGGGCAGGAGGCCAGAGCACGGGGGTTGAGTAGACAGGGAACCAGGCCCCGACTGGGCACAAAATAATCGAAGGTCGACTTCGTTTTCTTGGTCCTGAATGTGGCCGCGGGCGGCGCGAGCGCTGACATGGTGGACCCGGGCAGAAACTCAGCCTGAGCCAGCTTAGACGGGGCCAGATTGAAATCCCCAGCGACCAGCGCCGGGTGAGCAAGATCGTCCTGAAGCTGGCCGGCGGTGGCCAATATGTTCAAATTGGAGTGGCCAACACGTTCAAATTGGATTCTGCGAGACCAGCAGCAGCCTGAAAATAGGCGCTGCACAGGCCGAATTTTGGGGCCCCTGGGATTTCAAGGATCACCCCAGTCAAACGAGGAGCGTCCTACCCCGCGGGGAAAAGCAAGAAGCTGGACCCCCGAGCCCAAGCCATCACGAACCAACATCGCAACTCACGAGACCAGCTCATTAGTTGGGTTCACGGTGGCAGGGGTTATGTAAGCTAACCGCCCTTGCGCGGAGCACCATTGAATCTGACGCACAATCATACCTCCTTCGGCATACTTACACTCCTGGGCACAAATAATCGCGGCTTCACAAGCTTGCTACGATACGACTGCACGAACTTTCGTACAGAGCTTATAAGATGTGTTACCCCGACAGCGAGGCCTGACGCGCGGCAGCAGCGGCGGCAGCGGCTTTGGCCATCTTGGCGCCGGGGCCCGGCGCACCCTGGATCTTGACAGTGCCCTCCGCGACCTGCTCCAAGGCCGCATCCGAGCGAACGATGCCCTGCGTCTGGTCCATGGCCGCAGTCTCGCCGTCCTTGGGTTCATCCAAGTCCGCAGCTGATGGAGTAGGTGCATGTTGTCCATCAGCGGTGGCCTTGGACTCTGCCTTGACCTTCGCAGCTGGCTCTTCAGGTTCTTCTGGCTTCTCTCCAACAGCTGGGAAACCTGAGGGGTCCTCATGCGTAGGCTTGACCTTGCCCGCGCCCTTGGTCTGGGGCGCGAGGTAGATCTGGCGCTCGCGCTGCATGGTGTCGAACATCTGGGCGCGCTTTGACACCCTGGCGCGCAGCTCTGGGGAGGCTTCCCCCCCTTCTGGCACCCTCGCTGCCAGCTTTCCTTGGGGCATGGTGGGCACATCCTCGTCCGTGGAGGCCTCAGACGCTGCCGCTTAGGCAGCCATGTTGTGCTGAGACTCCAATGCTTGCACTTCTTTAGTATTAGTTTCAATTTCTACGACCAACTTGTCATGCTTCTCACTTGCCTTGACGATGATATCGACAAGTTCGATCGCTTCCTGCTTCTGCGACTCGAGCTTTTGGCCCTGTACCGACAACTGGTCCGATACTGATTGCGCCTGTTGCTCCAGACTCTTGGCGGGTAGCACCCGCGCCTTGGCTTGCTTGAGCTTGGCCAGCGCAGCTTTGTGTTCTTCTCCTTCTGGCTTCCACTTCTTCCAGACAGTGACCTGAGCTTGTGCCAGGGCGACTGGATCTTCGTTGATTCCGCCCGCCTCCGCGAAGGCAACCTTGGGTCGTCGTTGTCCGCGGCCGAGTCCAGCTGGATGGTCTGGTCCGCGGGAGCTCGACCAGGCTTGGGCGGGGGCTCGAGAACGCCAGGCCGAACTTCTGAGGCCCCACCTCCACTTCCTCCTGGTTGATCAGCGTTGGCACCTGGATCAGCACGCTTGAAATGACTGCCACACTGAGTGCAATGACGAACCTGCGGGGATATCCACGTCCACCCTTTGCATCCACGCTTGGCGCACACGAGGTACTTTTTTGGGGTCGACGACATCTCTTGTACCCCGAACGCGTCCGCGCACACAAGAAATGGGCCCAGAAATCAGTGGCAGAGAGAGAGAGAGAGAGAGAGACGTGATGCTGCCTTGGCTTGGGGCGAACCAGGCAGGCAAGGGGACTGAAGAGGCCACGGGGGGCACAGACTTGAGCCCCAGCTCCCAGGGCTTGACCTGGAAGGCGATGCTGAGTCCTGCACCTCCCGCGGTGAGCTCAGGACTTGGGCAAGTAGGAGGAGGAGGAGGAGGAGGAGGAGGAGGAGGAGGAGGAGCAGGAGGAGGAGGAGGAGGAGGAGGAGGAGGAGGAGGAGGAGGGGGACCCTGGATCTCGCCTTTGAGGGAGCCTCCTGGTGGCCCCTCGTCGCCATTGCCGCTTTCGCCCCGGCGTCCTGAGGCTTGGCGTTGCCCCCGGGGAGGGGCCCCGGGGGAGCCGCTGTGCAGCCGTGCCGCGCGTCTCTGCCCAGGAGCGGCGGCTCGCCGAGGAGCAGGATCAGCAGCGCCGGGGGGCCGAGGCGACGCTCCTCCTCCTCCTCCTGCTCCTCCTCCTCCTCCTCCTCCTGCTCCTCATTCTCCTCCTCCTCACTCGTCGTCGTCGTCGTCCTCCTCCCCTCCTCCTCCTCCTCCTCCTCCTCCTCCTCCTCCTCCCTCCTCCTCCTCCTCCTCCTCCTCTCTCCTCCTCCTCCTCCTCCTCCGTCCTCCTCCTCCTCCTCCTCCTCCTCCTCCTCCTCCTCCTCCTCCTCCGTCTCCTCCAGACTGGCCGCGGCGGGGAGCTTCGCGGCGTTCCTCTCTCCATGCCCTCCTCGTCGGAGGCTTCCCAGACATGATCGCGTCGATTAAAAATCAAGACGGGAGGTTTTTGGCAGATTTCGGCCTCGGGGGGACCGGCCCTGGGGAAAGTGTCTGGACTTCTGGGGACGCCGTCCTCACTTCTCCTCCTCATCCTCCGCCTCCTCCTCCACCTCCTCCAGCCTGGCCACGGCGGGGAGCTTCACGACGTTCCTCCCTCCATGCCCTCCACGTCGGAGGCTCCAGGCCTCCCAGATGGGGTCCGAGCAGATGGGGTCGGAGGATCGCGCCGCATCCCCGATGCCTCGACGATGCAACTCGATTTTGGAGCCCGTGTTTCGCCACGCCGACGTCGCCGATGCATCGCCGATGTCGCCGATGCATCGCCGATGCATCCCCTATGCATCGGCGATGCATCTGCGATGCGGTGCGATTTTTCGACCCCATCTACTCGGACTCCATCTACAAAGCCTCTAGAGGCGCTACGCCCATTGGAAGTCTTGAGAGCATCAGTAATCTGGACCGGACCCTGGGCGCCTGTGAGCTCACTCGTTTGCAGAATCTGTAGATCTTGACACGGACTACTGTTTACGAAAACGCTTGGCCCTTGGCGAAAAAACAAGTTTCTCAGCTCATTGTTGTCTTAACTCTAGCAGGAGTGTATGCGTTGAGGTGTCGGTCTCACAGGGTATGGGCCGAAAACGTGGCTAGATGGTTCTGTGGTCACACGGCGTGTTCTCTTGGGCGGCGGCATCGCCATCGAGCCGAACCATTTTCGTTCTGCAGACCGCAGTCGATGCAGGCAGTGAAAACTCGTCGATTCACGGCTCGCGCGGGCCAGTGCGTTTCCAACCCGACGTCTCGCCCGCCCAATAGAATGAATGAATGAAGCCGTGTGTCCGTAGGCACTTGAGCAATGGCACGAGCGTGCGCTAGACAGTGCACCTGCGCACCGCTGCTTTCCAGGCTTCCCGCTGGAAGCGTGCCCAAATCTGAGAGAAGGTCCAACCCGCATTTCGACAAGTCTGCTGAGCATGCTTGGACGATTCCGTTGTCACGCCTGCTGGGGCCTGCCCCTTGTCCGGCGGCCGGGTGCCTGCGACCGCTCAGAAGCAGAGCGAACATCGTTTTCAACTCGCTCACGAGGCTCGGGCGCTGGGGTGCCCGGTCCTGCCGGACACAATGAATCGTCGATTTCCAGGAAGGCATTGGGAAATATGGGAAGTGGGGACGAAGCCCTAGAACAGATGGGAACACATAGGGAATCCTGGGATTTGTGTCTCTGTGTCTGTGCGTCCCAGGGCCCCTTTCTTGGAGAAGAGCGGGCGGCGGCGCGTTGAGAGCGGCAGGAAGGCGCTGGGCGCAGTCCGCCAAGCTGTGGGAGCGGGCTCCCCCAAGCAGGGCGTCACAAGAATAAGTCGGGCATGTCCCTCTACGGGGGGGGGATTCACAAGTAGTTAAACATAGTCTGGGGGCGCTGTTTCGCCTATGTTAGTCTATGTTTGAGCATTTTTCGGCTATCTTTGACTTGTCCTCCAAGAACCCGCCTGTAGGAGGACATGCCCGACCTAACCCTGGATGCGGCAGGGCCGTGATTTACCGTTTTCATACGCAAGTTCTTGATCGCGAAGGCAGTAAAAATACCGTTCACTGTGACGGTAAAAGAAACAAAACACACATGTTCCCCGAAACGGCCGGGGCAGTCCGGGCATCCGAAGGACGTTCGGAATTGGTCCGGACAAAGATCGTGATCTGAACTGGACCAGGCCCCCACCAGGGGAAACAATCACGGTAAAACCGCAGCGCCAGAAACGACGAAAAAGATGAACATATAGAAAGGACAACGACAACAATAATTGATTTGTCGTTCCCAATGCCCCTTACGGTTTCGCCTTCGAGAGATCAAGAAGTTGATGTCTTTTCCTCAGCGGAAGTAAACTGGGCGCGACTTCGCCAGCGGAATTGAAACAATTACCACGGAAACGTGCAGATTGTTGCGGATTCGAGGTTCTATTGAGCGAGCCGTGTGGCGCAAGAGTTTTGCGTGGTTCGAATTAGTTTTCACAGAGGTCATGCTCAACGCTCTTTGCTTCCACGTCTGGCTGCGAAATGGGCGCGCGAACAAGGTCAGCAATGCAGGTTGATCATGTGGCCATGCAGCGCAAACGAACAAAGGACCTCTCAGTCACTTGGCTGGGTCCTGGCAGGAGACACCTGTCCAGAGCACAAAGGCTCTTATCGTCCCGGTCTGGAAGAGGTGGATGGTCAGGGATCAGCACTCTGAGAATGCCCAGGGGTCTGCGATTGGGGGCTGCGATTTTTTTTGTGGCGACCGGTGGCGGCTATTTGCCAGCAGGCCATCAACAGCTGGCGCTTTTCTTTCCAGAACGGTCCTGTTGCCACATGCAGCCGCATCTTTTCCCAAAGCGCTACACCGGGGTACCTGCTGCGCTCAGGTCCTGCAGGCCACGGTGGCGCGCAGCGTTCAATCAGCCCGGCGAAAAACGAAGAGCACGAGTCTCAGATAGGAGGAGGAGGAGAAGTTGGAGGGGGAGCAGCGGAAGCAGGTCGGTCGGACGCGGCACCCTGTACCTCAAAATCGCCTCCAGACATGACTTGGGTTGCGTTCTGACCAGGATTTCGAGGCGAATCCAGCCGTAGCGTCGAGAACCCCCTGGAGGCCCAGAAAGGGTAATTCTCGATATAATAGGGCACGGTCGACGATCCGTCTCATCATCGTCGTCGTCCTCCTCCTCATCCTCATCACCATCACCAGAAACCACCACAACCACCAACAGCATCATAATCATCAGCCATCACAGTTCGCATCGCTTGTGGAGAGCGGGCGACCATCTTGCTCGTGTGCGATGCGCAGCGTGCACACACAGCGCGAGGCTGGCAGGACTGGCCACGGGGTGCGCAAAACCAAAAGCACAAGGCAGGAGGCCGTCGTGGGTCGCCTGCAGAGGGGCCTGGCCCCCGCAGGCTCTGACAGGGTGCCCTGGGTTTCTTGGGTTTCGATGACTTTGCTGTGGAAAGCGCGACGCTTCCGCACCAAACATCAATGGACGCCCTGGGGTCTCAGGAGTCGGGTTTCTTGTGGAAGGTTTCTTTCACTGTATAGGCACGCCTCATCCTTTTCTGCGCCGAGGTAGAACCCGATCGGCAGCAGGCCGACGCGGATAGCCTTGCACGCAGCTCGAACCAAGGGTTTGTTGGGCATGTCCCTCTACAGGAGGAATATTCAAAAATTGGAGAATTGTCTGGGACGATTCTTGTTTCGGCCCCTGGGCGGCACGAAAGTGCAAAGGCCTTCGGCCGTGAACGTGCTGTCGTGAGGGTGCTGCACGCTCGGGCCGCTCACCGGCGCGGCCCAGTCAGCAGCTTCGGTGAACCGCAAAACCCAGGCCTCGCCGATGGGGTCGGAGTAGATGGGGTCGGAGGACCGTGCCGCATCGCCGATGCATCGACGATGCGGCTCGATGTGGAGCCCGGGTTTCCCCACGTTGACGTCGTCGATGCCTCGCCGACGTCGCAGATGCATCGCCGATGCATGGGCGATGCATTGGCGATACGGCGCGATCCTTCGACCCCATCTACTCGGACCCCATCTACGAGGCCTCTGAAAAAGTGATGGCATCGCCTTGTTAGGTCAGCCGCAGTACCCAGATTGTGAGGTGCTGCGCGCTCGGGCCGTGCACGTTTACTGAAGCCGCCAGTGTCTCTCGCGTGCCTGCTGCTCGGCCCGCCCGGCAGAGTACCTCTGCGCCGCACGCGGCGGCTTCCAGAGGAGACGGACCCACGGGCGTCGGCAGTTGTGACGCCTAGGTCCATTCTCCGAGCGCAGCCAGGGGGTGCAAGGAACGTCGGCCTGTGGACCCACGACGACTTGCAGCCCCTGGCAGAACATCTGTCGGACGAATCTCTGGCGCTGCGCAGCTCTGACCCTGATGCATGCTCTCAGCGCGCGCTGGCTCTGGAGGCGGATATCGCGCCCAGCATAGGGGAACGAAACATTACAGGACCATACAAACTCGGAGCTCCGCTCGGATTTCTTGGATCCGCGCTGGACCCCCCTCCCTGGCGAGCTCTGCCCGCCAGGGGCGGCGCCGCCAGGGCGACCCAGCGCCGATCCGAGAAATCCGCGCGAGCCTCCGAGACGTTTTTAATGTTTGTGCCATCGTTCGTTCCCCTGGAGCAGCGGAAGCGGACCCACGGGTGTAGGCACCAGCTGGCATTTAGGTGCATCTTCTGAGCGGCTTCGAAGGGCAACGGTCGTCCGAGCCTCGCGTGCGGTGGATCTCTCTTGCGGTGCGGCGACTGGCCATGGCCGATGTGGGGGGCGAAACAATGTACAGTAGGGGCGCGCATCAAGAAACCATGTGCTTTTCGTCAGGGCATCCTGGGCTTCTTTGTTCCGCGACTTGCGCGGCGACCTCCCGCAGCCGCCAAGGATGCTGCTGCGTTCCGGGTGTTCTGGGTTTCCCCGCATGTGCGGGCTTTCAGGGTTAGGTTTCTTGCGAGGGTTTCTTGTGGCCGCACCCGCACTGTGTGTCGGCGCAGGTCCTCCCCGGTGCCATCGGGGCACGGCCTGACGCTGCGTGCGAGCCGCCGAGGAACACGTTCGCGTTCGGGGGGCCACCGAGATTGGGTTTGATTCGGTCTCGGCTGCAGCGGATCATCATCATCGCCACCACCATGACAAGCATTGGCGTCATCGCCAGCTGCACCATCATCACAAGTATATATATATATATATATGTAAGAAACTTAGTGTATGTATCTGTATATATACATATACCTATATAAATCCTGGAGGCCTCGCGCGGCGCGTAGTAGTAGATGGATTATCTAGTCCACGCGTCAGCTCCGTACGCTATGGGTCGACCTTCGTGCGGCGATGCTGCTGCGTCAGTGCGACGCAAATCCGACGTCATTCCGACGTAGTCCGACGTGAATCCGACACACATCCAACGTGGATCCGACGTACATCGGTCTCAAGTTGCCGCGCGAGGCCTCCAGGAATGTCATCACGAATAAGCGTCTTCGTTTCCCTCGTCCTCGTGGATAGGGATGGGGGATGGGAGCAAGCCCTCAAGCCGGCCTCGCGTGAGGCGCATGGCGTGGAGCAGGCCAGGCGCCTCGCCGCCAGCGAGGAGGCGGGCGAGCTCGCGGGGCGCTGCGCCGTGCTGGAGGAGGAGCTCGCCAGGCCCCGCGCTGCCGCCGTCGACGCTGTGAGCAAGCCACGACGTCGGGGCCGCGACGCGAGTTACAGTGCAGAAGGAAGGAGGAGGAGGAGGAGGAGGAGGAGGAGGAGGAGTAGGAGGATGACGAGGAGGAGGAGGAGGAGGAGGAGGAGGAGGAGGAGGAGGAGGAGGTGGTGGTGGCTGGCCTGAAAGGCGGGTTCAGAATCAAAAGTCGAGATCGCTCTCTGAGGCATCAGGCTCCTCGCCCCTGCCCCTAACAGGGTCGTGGCATCCCCATCAACCCCTCCCCCTCGAAGAGAGGAGAGGCGACAGGAGGAGGGAGGAGGAGGAGGAGGAGGAGGAGGTGGTGGTGGTGACTGGCCTGAATGGCGGGTTCAGAATCAAAAGTCGAGATCCCTCTCCGAGGCATCAGGCACCGGCTACGGACCAAAGAGAAAGCGGAGGAGGAGGAGGAGGAGGAGGAGGAGGAGGAGGAGGGGGAGGAGGAGGAGGAGGAGAGAAGGGAGGAGGAGGAGGAGGAGGAGGAGGAGGAGGAGGAGGAGGAGGAGGAGGAGGAGGAGGAGGGAGGAGGAGAGGGAGGAGAGGGAGAGAGGGAGGGATGGGGAGGAAGGAGAGGGAGGAGGAGGAGGAGGAGGAGGTGGTGGTGGTGACTGGCCTGAATGGCGGGTTCAGAATCAAAAGTCGAGATCCCTCTCCGAGGCATCAGGCACCGGCTACGGACCGAAGAGAAAGAGGAGGAGGAGGAGGAGGAGGAGGAGGAGGAGGAGGAGGAGAGAAGGAGGAGAGAAGGAGGAGGAGGAGGAGGAGGAGGAGGAGGAGGAGGAGGAGGAGGAGGAGGAGGAGAGGGAGGAGAGGAAGGAGAGGGAGGAGGGGAGGAAGGAGAGGGAGGAGGAGGAGGAGGAGGAGGAGGAGGCGGTGGAGGGGCTCGAGCCGCCTTTTCAGGAGCGGACGCCCCCAGCCACCAGCCGCCGCGGCGATCGGCTGGTGCCGCTTTTCCCGCGCTGCCCTAGGAGAGACGTGGCAGGCCAAGGAACCTGCCTGGCACAGACGTGCCCGCCTGAAGCGCCAGCAGGCGCGGAGGGTCATCCAAGCATCGTACGCTCTCCTCGTACGACACCACAGTGGACAGCCAGGGAGATTGCCGACAATGGGACAGGGGGGCAAGGGCAAGGCCAGCAACAAGAACGGCGACACGAAGAGCGCCGCACATGCTGGACCAGCGGGTGGTCACAAAATCCGCCCAGCCCGAGGTCAGCCCCCTGCCCATTCATGGACGTGCTCGCATTGTGAGGTGACAGTCCATCTCACAAAGGAGTGGTGCTGGCAGTGCGGGCAGCACTGGAAGGCGCCCAAGACATCACAGCCGTCCGACGCGCAGGCCTGCCCGTGGCGGGAGAACGCGCAGCAGGACAGCTCGACAGACGTCAAGGGCACGGACTACAGCGGGGTCATCCAAAAGATCCAGGCGGCGTACGACGCAGCTGAAAAGGTCGGTAAGGTGGATGCCAAACCGTTGCAAGCAGTTCTAGACACGGTCCGTGCCCAGCGAGATTCTGAGAAGACGCCGATGCAGATGGCTCAGTCAATGACCCAGAAGCTCGGGCAGAAGCAGAAGGCTCTGGAACGCCACAAGTCAGCCCTCGAAGAGTTCACTCGCGAGGCTTTGGAGGCGGAGATGAAGCTAGCCATGAAGAAGGAGAAGGTCGCGAAGGAGGAGGCCGCCATTGAGGCCTGCATCAGCGACATTGCGAGGCTGGAGGAGGAGCAGAAGCAGTGGCTCGGCAAGGCTCGGGGAGAGCAGCAGCCCAAGCCAGCAGCGGCGCAGGTGGCCGAGTCCTTCAACGGGCTCCAGGCGGCCTTGGCGGCGCTTGGCTCGGCGGCTGCAACCTCGCCCGCACGTTCACCGACTTCGCCGCGGCGCCGAAGGTGCACGGGCAGCAGGTGCCTGCGGCCACGCAGGCCCCCGCCGAGGGCCAGCAGGCGCCTCCAGGGGCCACGGCCGCCGCCGCGCCCGACGGGACAGCAGGCGGAGGCGGACCCACACCAGCCAAGCTGGACGGAGGCGGAGCCCCCGCCGCGGTGACAGCAGCTCGGCCGTCAGGGCAGAGTGCGACCGCGCCTGGAGGGACTCAGGTGAAGACGTCAGCCACCGCAGCTGCCACTGCCCCCTTGAACGGCGGGGAAGAGAATGTTGAGGGGGGCGAGGCCGAGGGCGCAGCCGCGCTCGTGGGTAACCTGTTCGCCTCGCCCCCCCCCCCCCCCCCCCCTCAGCTGCCCCAGCCAACAGAAGGGGGAAAACAGGTGCGGCTTTTTTGAAATGTTGCACCGTCAATGGGTCCTGCTGGACCACAATGCCCGATTTCCTGGCATCCTGCAATGCGTCTATAGTGTTTGTTCAGGAGTATAAGCTTAGTTTAGTGGGTACTTCTAGAGGCCAGACAGAAGCTCAGTAGGAGGGGCTGGGCTTCGTTCTGGGCACCCTGCCTGCGTGGGCCCGCTGGTTTCCCGAGCGGGGGTGTAGGCATCATTGCTCGCAAGCATCTAGACCTTTGGGTCGACCCCCGCACTCTTGGCATTTTATCCCCAGGCAGGCTTCTGCATGTGTATTTTAGAACCAAGGCACACGGACTTATCAGCCTATATTCGAATTACTGGGTCTCTGGAACGGGTCTGGGGCCAGCGAATATCTGGCTAAACATGACCTTGTGACAACACATCCTGGAGACGGGTACGCCGTTTGTTGCGGGGGGTGATTCAACGTTTGCCCTGATGCACTAGAGTATGCACTGGCACCAGGCAGACTCGGAGGAGCAATTTGCAGACCAGATGCGCCGACGCTCGTGCAGGGCGACCGCACTGCCATGATAGATTTCGTCATTTGCAGTCTAGTGCTCACGTATGGAGTTCGCGATTGCAAAGTTGATCCCAGAGCCCGCGTCCCGCCGCGCCGACCAGTCTACCTAGACATCGTCGAGGACACCCAGGGTCTGAAAGTTTTGAAGCTGCGCAAAAATAAAAAGATCGGGGTCTCCCAACCTGTGGGCCCCAACCCCGCCCCTCCCGAGTATGAGGACCTCTTGGATTCCATAGCAGGGCCCTTGGAGGACCTTCAGGAGGAACCTGGACAGCTACATCCTGTCCCCGCTGAACGAGCTGCTGAGCTTCAGGAGCTCCAGGGCAGGGTGTTCACTACTTGGGTCGGTAGGGTGTGGACGGAACTAGAGGCCATATTTCAATGTGATGGCACCGATCGGCGCCAGCAGGGGGGCACGACTTATCGGTTCGTCCAGGTCTCGCTCGCCAAGTTACTAGTTGCCCGCAGCAGTCCGTATAAAACCGCTTCGAGGGCAATGGGGTGGGTTGCCCGTCGACTTCAGGAATTTCGGAGCCTGCTCAGGAAAGGCGTGACCCCCGACAGCTCGCAGTATTTTGGCAGGCTTGCACGTGATGCAGCACGAGGGCAACGCCCCCCCCTTCCGTCGGCACTGGCCTGAAGGGGGAGCTTTCTGGAAGCCCATTTTCAAGTACTTCGGTCTTGGCCTCTGCAGTCTCAGCTGGCGCCCCTGGGACACACCCTTGGAGGAGCTGGAAGCCTGGGCCGCTCTGGCAAAACCTTGGAGGACCTCGCGCTCAAAAAGGAGAAGACCCAGAATAACGAATCCTGGAAGACCTGGTGTTCGGAAGCTTTGGAGGGTGGGGCCCGCTGGGCCCCATGCTTATACCAAACTGCCGTCAAATTTCAGGGAAGACGTTCTAAAGACCGAAGATGGGCAATAGACATGTGCATTCAGTGCTCGGTTTCAATCTCAGCAAGATCTGTGGAACTCAGCCTGGAGGGCAACCACAGAACCGTCTACCAGATGGATCCCGCAGCTGCCGCCAGACACCCTGATACCGCGTGCCCCTGATGGTGAGGACCTCAGGATAATATCAAGTGGATTTAAGTAGCACGCCATCGCCACGGACGGGGTCCACCCGAGACGCTTCAGCCTGTTGTGCCCTGCCGCGCTCCAGGTTATGTCTCGCCTCATGTCTGTGCAGGTGGCACTGGGCAAAGGGCCCACCCAGCTCCGCGTCCTCCTGGTCCAATTGTTTGAGAAGCCTGTGTCGGGGAGGAGACCGATTGCTTTTTTTGTATTTATATTATTATTATTATTTTAAAAAAGGTTGGTCTCCAAGGATCCCAGGATGGTTTCCAAGGTGCTGGGTCGGGACTGTAAAACCTGGGAGGGCTCAGTGAGACGCTTGAAGGCTTTCAACATGGGGCCTGGCAGGTCT